CCCCCCCCCCCCCCCCTAAGGCTTCTTCTCTTGATTTTCTAACACAGCCATCTTTCAGATTCCTCTCCGTGCCCAAGTGCAGCGACGATTCCTACCCAAGGGACGGCCTCTATGTTGCCACCATCAGATAATCAGGCGGCGTCCCAGCCGCCACGGAGTACTGCAACTGAACTTCCAGCAGGTGTATTCTGTTGTCCTTTAGAGATATACACGGAAAATAAGTCGGGGAGCAATATACTTGTGTGCTTGAGCTTCAATTTCTTTATGTGCTTGCGTCGTATTTTATAGTCGATAACGCATGGTTTCTCTTGGTTGTAACCACATCTGATTAGTAATTAGTTAAATTTTCTTCTCCCTACAGTTGCTCCGGGTTCGACATCTCCAGCAGGAGGGTTTCCAGTGATCGGAGTCATTGACGGGAAATTTGATAGCGGATATCTTATTACTGTTACTGTAGGGACGGAGAAGCTAAAAGGTGTGCTTTATCAGGCTCCTTCTGAGCAACCTGCTCAGCCTGTTGGTGTTTTTGCCAAAGATGGTACACCAAATGCTCATCAGCTTCGCCGTCGGAAGAAATCTGAGATAAGACGAAGGGATCCCGGTCATCCGAAGCCAAACAGAAGCGGCTACAACTTCTTCTTTGCTGAGCAGCATGCTAGACTCAAACCATTACACCCAGGGAAGGACAGGGAGATAAGCAGAATGATTGGTGACCTTTGGAATAAACTTAAAGAGTCTGAAAGAACAGTAAGGATTGCAATACTCTGTCGTTTATGCTTTTGGAATTCATCACATCTCTGGTACTAGCCGGTATCGACGAGTTTTCTTTACTTGCAGGTTTACCAGGAGAAAGCTATGAAAGATAAAGAACGATACAGAGTCGAGATGGAGGATTACAGAGAGAAGCTGAGGACAGGCCAAGTCATCAGTGATGCAGTGCCTTTACAGCAGCGTCTTCCCGAGCCAGACCTGAACATGGTCTATGCTGACAAGAACGAAGAAACGGAGGATGGCGACTCTCCACAAACCCCAGATAACGATACAAGCTATGTTGAAGGCAACTCCGGAGAGTATAAAATGGAAGTGAAGGAGGAGGATGAAGAGGAGGAAGAGGAGGAAGAGGAGGAAGATGCATCTCCGAAAGGAATTGTTATTGTGGAGGATGTTAACGCTTTGGTCGAGGAGGAACAGTGCAAGACGGGAACAGCCGAAGAGGATGTTAGAAAAGAGAGTAGCACGGTTGGGGACGATAAAGAAGTTTATGCCGGGGAGTCGGTAATGATGGAGGTGGATGCAAAGGAAGAACCAGAACCAACAACAGACATTCGAGAAAATTAAGGTACTATACTGCTCAGTTTTTGCAGTGCTTCATCATGTTTCCATTACTTCAGCTAATACTTGTAAAGCTTTCAAGTTTTCTGAAAGATTTTGAGATTCTTATCAGGGAAAAGTTTTGGATCTTTCAATCACTTCTGTTTTAGGAAGAAATTTTGTTGCCTTCTGTTGAAACATTCCAACTGGAATCACTCCCTGATTTGTTTATAAGTGAAGCTGGCTAGCTAGGTCGAGACATCGGGTCACTCCCCTTATGATTATACAATGTATGAACTAGGATCGTCAATTAATCTTTAATAGAGAGCTATCGCAACTGTCGGGTCTACATTTGTATCAGATGGCTTGGTAGCTATAGGACCGTGCCCTAGATGCTTATGATGTAAGTGCCACCGGTTAATATATAGGGACTATTAGGGAGTCTCCAACTATCTTCGTGAACTGGTCTCGAATGATAAGGGTCTATGTAGTATCTTAGTAGTTGACAAGCATGAGGATTACTCCCTCGGATTATGATGATTATACTACATGGAGACTATTAGAGAGTTGTCTACTAATCTCTATCAGGGAACTGTCTTAATTTACAGAGTGTGTGTATGTACTTTGAGTTTGAGGGATTATGAAACCGTGCCTCACTTTAGTAAAAGATTCGATTAGCTCAAATGAGCTCATCGATATCATCAAAGCTTACATCGATATCTTAAAGTTTTTATATCGAGTTCAAAAACTCGAGGGCAAAGTTAGGCCGAGGGAGGAGAAGAAGGGGTGTTAAGGGATGAAAGAAAAAGTACCCAATAGAGACAATAGATCACGTAGTCCTTAGAGTCAAATACCGAACCTTAGTATACCTCTGATTCATCCTTTGTCCTAACTAAATCATCCTAGACGGAAAGAAATTTGCCAGCCATCATTCCATTCAAACATTACAAACTTAGGTCATAGTATCTCGATAAAAGAGCCAACGAAGGGGATGAGCCAAACAGGGAGTCTACTAGATGGGGTTCAACTAGCGGAGAGTCTGGGACAATCAGTCCTCAAGTGAGCGTATTATGGGGACCGTCTCGTAAATACAAAGATTTGAAAGATCAACCAATATGATTCACAAAAAAGGGAAGAAAACACTGAAACCAAATTCAATAAATTTACAGATAAATATGGAAAAACAAAATGGGGTTTCAAAAAAAAAAAAAAAAAAAAAAAAAGAGGCCCTTCCAAATAAATAATCATCAATTCAGGGACTAAAAAAGAAATAACAAAAACCAAAAGAAAGAAAGAAATTTATGAATCAGAAACTAACAGAGCATCCCAAATCATGTCCATGTCCAAAGATGGCATTCTGCTGAGCTGAACATGTTGTTCAATTTCCAAGATTCCATCTTCATTTCTCTTCAACTCCCCTGTTTCAGATCCGCCACCGTTGCCACCACTGCCCGACATGTTTTCCGGTGAAAAACGCACCGGATTCTGGTTCAAATTTAGCACTTTTGAATCTCCCTGCAACAGTCTTTTCTCTGAAATAGAAGAAGGGTCAATGGCGGATTTGGTGGCAGTGGTTGCTGTGGTCGTTTTTTTTCTACCGGAATTCCCCTGCGTGATCGCCTGCAACTTCGCCTCCAGCAGCGCCGCCGTAGTACGGTTAAGAGAGTTGGATTTCAGGCGGTGCTTCTGATCGGGAAAATTCAAATGTGCGAATTCCCCTCTCAGTATATAGGCGGCAGTGTCGTACGCGACGGCGGCTTCCACCGCTGTATCGAAGGTCCCAAGCCAGACCCTCGTCCGGTTCCTCGGCAGCCGAATCTCCGCCACCCATTTCCCCCAGTGCCGCTGCCGAACACCTCTGAACAACTTTCCGACCGCCGTCGCCGTCGCCGTCACCGACGTCTCTGTTTTGTGATTCCCCTGTTTTCTTCCAATCTGTTTCATCGGCTGAGTTTTCGTCACCCCCAGCCAGAAATCACTGTAATTTCTCGACGCAGTGGCAGCATTGGCCTCGGCCTGATTCTGAATTTGGTTGCTTTTCAGCCATTGGAACCCATTTTGAGCTTGAATTTGAAATGGGTATGGATCAACAATGGTGGGTTCTTGAAGAAACAGAGTCAAATTTGTTGAATCTGTTCTAGACTGAAACAGAGGAGAAGAAGAAAAAGACTCAGATTCTTGTTTGGGAAAACTCTCCAAGAAATTCAAGGGAATGAACCTTTCTCCATCTGCTTGAACATTACTTTCGATCAAATTCCCACCAGAAATCTCAGTTTTCCCCCTCGAAAACATTCTAAACGACGTAGAACACGACGAAGAAGGCGAAGAAGAAGAAGAAGAAGAAGAAGATGGAGACTTTGATTGATCATTGCCTTTGGAACCGCCATTTTCTGACCTCGAAGCTCGAGCTATGGATTCCCAGAGACTTGGATCGCCATAAAAACAAGACCCAGACACCAATTCTTGTAAAGAAGAAGATGAAAAATCCTTTTGAATTATGATTTTTTGTTCTTCTGAGAGTGAGAATTGATCCGCCATGGTTGAAGAAGAAGAAGAACTGGAAATACAGCAAACTCAAGGCATTATTATGCTATATATATATATATATATACACACACATATATATACATATATACATACATACATATATATATATACATACATATATATATATATATATATATATATATATATATATAACATTTCATGTGATGGGTATCTACTTTTTTTCACAAAAAAGTTTAAGTTATCATCTGAGTCAGATCTATAATTCTTTTATCTCAAAACTCGTCTCATTCCATTTGCCTCCACTCCTGAGTTCGTGCAAGCCATTTCTCTGTTTCTTTTTTCTCCTTTTTCATGGCTGTCCAATCAGAGGTTGACAGGTCAGCTCTGTTTAGGTGACCTGTCGGCTGGAATTGTCCATGGACATGGCTGAATATCCACCATGAAAGCAAGTAAAGAACCTCAAAGCTTATGCTTTCATGGCAGCACTTAGTGCTCTATTCTCTCTTTGGTCGCTTCTCATGTGGGTTTTCTCCCACACCCATGTGTCATCAAAGTTACCACTTCTCTTTTTTACTTTTTTACTTTCTTACTTTTTTTAAAAAACATACCCAAAAAGAGGGTAAATTACCACTTAACGTCCCTACCATTTCAAAAATATCTGTTCAACCCTTCAATTTTGTGCTAATTAAGTTTCTTCTCTTTTGAAATACTGTAGTTGAAGGGTATTTTTGAAATAAAGCGCTCGAGATATTTTTGAGACAAAGTACAAAGTTTAATGGTATTTTTTATTATTATTAATTTAGTCGATTTATTTCTATCAAAATGGCCCGAGAGGGTTGGAAATTGAATGATTGGTCCAAAACCACAAAATATAATCAAATACGGAGAGAGAAAGAGAGAGAGACAAAATCATTAGCTTGGGAAATTTGTTATTATGAGGAAATCATTGGGGGTTTTGTGAATAAACAAATATTTAAGTTATGTGGATGAATGCTATTCGAAGAGGTGTCTTTTGAGAATGATTTTGGCCTTTGGGATATTCGAAGGCAAGCAATTGGTCCCGACGGTTGATCTTCAGAAGTATCTCTAACATGGGCAACATAATAGTTCTGCTATCGAGAATCGAGAACTCGATAGACAAGGTCGAACATTTGAGTGGTGGAAGATTGCAGCCATTTTAAGGTATGCTTGGTTTTTGGTCAATACCCATTTAGGGATAGAATAATTTGAATGCCAAAAAGTGAGAAAAAGGGCTATTGGTATTGGGAATCTCTCTTTCTCTCTATGTTTGTGTTATATAATTGAGTTAGCACATGCCTTCAAGCTAAGCTATCTCTATCTATGTTGGTTTGTCTAATATAATACTTAAATTAACAACCCGAAAGCACTAAGAGATTATATAATAGAACGATACAATGTTTATCTTTATGAATGTGATGCTGGTGTAAAGAAGGGATGAGTGTATGGACCGATGTCACCTTCGAATGAGAGTGATCTCAATGACATGAAGTTATTGTTAGTGCAACAGTCCAAGCCCACCGTTAACAAATATTGTCCTCTTTGGGTTTTTTCTTTCGCGATTTCCCTCAAGGTTTTAAAATGCGTATGTTACGAAGAGGTTTCTACACCCTTATAAGGAATGCTTCGTTCCCCTCTCCGATTGATGTGAGATCTCACAGTCCACCACTTTTGGGGGGCCATCGTCCTTGTCGGGACACTGCCCAGTGCCTAACTCTGATTCCATTTGTAACAGCTTAATCCCAATAAGGTGCACACTGCCCAGTGCCTAGCTCTAGTACCATTTGTAACAGCCAAATCCCAATAAGGTGCACATTGCCCAGTGCCTAGCTCTGATACTATTTGTAACAGCCCAATCCCAATAAGGTGCACACTGCCCCGTGCCTAGCTCTAGTACCATTTGTAACAGCCCAATCCCAATAAGGTGCACATTGCCCAGTGCCTAGCTCTGATACCATTTGTAACAGTCCAATTCCAATAAGGTGCACACTGCCCAGTGCCTAGCTCCGATACCATTTGTAACAGCCCAATTCCAATAAGGTGCACATTACCTAGTGCCTAGCTCTGATACCATTTGTAACAGCTTAATCTCAATATGATGCACGCTGCCCAGTGCCTAACTCTGATACCATTTGTAACAGCCCCATCCCAATAAGTTGCACACTCTATGTTGGGTGAACTTCTAATTTTCTTAGGAAACATGTAAGTGAAAACAAAGTATGCTAAAAGGACCCGTCTTAGTTTGTAGGGATAGTCTTTACTCGTAGAAGCAGTGCAAGTCAAATAGGTAAAATGATTATGTCATGGGAGATACAGGGCAATGTCGGGCCATCAAGTTTCAAATATAAATTCCAAATCCTAAACATTTTAAGTAATATTATCCGAAGTTTCTCTTGCTCGTACGAGAATTCATAAATCAACTAGATCTGGTGTCGTTGCTTGAAAGTTCGGGATATAACCGACGGGAGCTAGAAGAGGTGATTAATTGAACCAACCAATCAATGAGGAGTATCATATGTCCCAATTAAGGGCACATTACAATGACATTCTTATGATATGTTTATGAGAACTTTCCAAAATGGTCCTATTTCTACAGTATTTTATAAAAAAGATGACTTGGATTTGTCTTTGTTTATGCCTCTTCTCTCACTTACACCCATTATTTTTGCCCTATAAACAATTAGTATTCATTGCATTTAACCAATACATCACAAAGAGCGAGAAAAAGGTTTCGACTTTATAAGACGTTGGCTTCTCAACCTTCATAACTACCCTCGACCCTCGAAATTTTAAAATGGGTCTGTTACGGAGAGGTTTCCACACCATTATAAAAAACGCTTTGTTCTCCTCTCAAACCGACGTGGGATCTCATAAGAAAACAACCGAACAAGAACAAGAACAAAAAGAATTATACCAAAGTTAAACCCTAAGTAATCTTCTTCCTCATCGTTCTTCGTCAAAAGGTAAAGAATCCATCTTTATACAAGAATCTAGAATCTTTGCGTTATCTATCGATCCAAATCAAACGTCTCCACACACTCGTATTCCCGTTTATAACAAAAAAAACAAACATTTTTACATTTTTGGATGTTGTTTCGTAACTTTAAACACCTTAAAGTGATCGTTTTTTTTCACCTTCTTCAACTGTTCGTTACCCTAAACGAATCCAAAATGCCCAGAAACAACGTTTCGATACAAAGGGTTAGAGAGAAATTTGAGATTTACGACCCGATCGTGGGACGTGTAGACTTGAGAAAGCAGCAAAAGGCAAGAGGTTGAAGATAAATTAGAAAAACTTATCCCTTTGCTCTGAAAACAAATGAAAGCTTGTGGATCCCAATAGGCTATGGCTAACCACATCCATCATGACTTCCACTCCCACCCAACTAACAACCAATGGAGATCAAACTTTCGTATTTATTTATTCATTTTTATGTTCGTGACGGTCCTGAGTCAACTTTACATGTTTAGAGTACTCTTAGAGATATCTATGGAGCTCTGTCTCGAGTTTCAATAGAGAATGAGGGAGGAAGTGAGGAGAGAACCTTCTCCGTGAGCTAAATAGGGGCGAGAACGGAAATTACATTTCTCATCATTATCTCCACCCCGAGCCCATCTAAATCTCTCCTGTGCACGTGAGTTCATGTCTAAATTTTTAGTTCTTAGATTTTCATATATTTTGAAATACAATAGTGTGATGTCCTACATTGGTTGGGGAGGAGAACAAATCACCATTTATAAGGGTGTGGAAACCTTCCCCTAGTAGACGCGTTTTAAAGCCTTGAGGGAAAGCCCGAAAGGGAAAGCCCAAAGAGGACAATATCTGCTAGCGGTGGATCTGGGTCGTTACAAATAGTCTAATTTTTTCAATCGATTTGTAAGTTTTAAACTAAACCCTAAAAATGACTCTCGAGTATTAGAACACAACTCATCATTTTGAAGGTTAGATCTCGTTCGATAACCATTTAATTTTTGAATTTTAAAAATAAAAAACCCGAACGCTAAATGTTAACCAACTAGGCGTCAAGTATTAAAAATATAAAAATAAGTAGAAAAGTTTAGGATTAAATTAAAATAAATGTTAAGGATTTATTTAAATTATCATGTTGTGATTAATTAGGTCTAATGGGGATTAGTGGGTTACTCATTGAAATCATCAGCATTGGGTGGAGGAAATGATAATGTCAAAAAGTGCAACCACGGACCAATGAGATTCTTCCACTTGTCACAATTTGATGGTCAACAATCTAGAGCCACTAGTTTAATTGCTCAAATTTGTGTGGCTGAAAAAAAAGATAAGTTTTTTATTTTTTTTATTTTTTTGCCAATAAATATATTATTTTTTTTATGTGTTTGTTTATGTTTGTGTTTTGCATATTGCAATAAACAAATATGAAAAAGTTTGTAAGATAATTTTGTTTTTATAATTAAATGTATTTTATGACCATATATTTTATTTTTATTTTAATTTTTTTAATGTTAAATTATACCAAAAAAAAAAAAACTTTTTTTATTTTAGAATTTATTCCAAAAATTATATTTTGAGTACGATTTGTAACCGCCCAACCCTTAGTCTCACGGTTTTAAAACACATTTTCTAGACAGAGATTTTCACGCCCTTGTAAGGAATACTTTGTTCCCCTCTCTAACCGACGTGGGATCTCACAATCGACCCCCTTGGGGGCCAGTGTCTATCGATAACGTCTCATGCACAAGATTTACACGAGTTCTAGAAGGTCACTCAATATATGATCGTTTCAAGTCAAGCACGTTTCACTTTGGAATTCCTATGATTCAACCACAAAAATGAACTGTGCAGATCGTAAGTATAAGTAGTAACTATTAATTCTTTTCAAAACTTTCTCAACCCCATGTCGAGGATTCACACCGAGATTTAGAATCCAGATTTGAAACCTACCGACTCGAACATTCTTTTGCATTATGATCATGTTACGTACTTGTGTTGAACTGTCTTTTAGCATCTTTTTCAGTCATAATTTCATTCCTCAGGATCACTCTGACTCAGATGTGATCTCAGTTCATTTATGTACCGTTCGTTTACTCAGGCGTCACAATATATATCATAC